AGCTCCCCACGGGGGATCCAGCCCCCATTTTACACCCACTTCCGAGGGCTGCGTGTCCCCGGATGCGCTCACCTCCTGCGCTTCTTGCGGGTGCGTTTCTTCTTCTTCTTCTTCCCGCGGGCCGGCGGCGCGTGCTCCCCATCACACAAGGGGCTGAGGAGGGGGGGGAACACACAAATTAAAACTAAAAATAATAAAAATAACCCCTGAATCAGCTCACGTGGGACAGCTCTGCCATCGCCCACGTCCGGGCCACCCGAGGCAGAGAGATCAGTTTTCACGGTGGACTCGGGGCTCGGGCGAGTGCCTAATTACCCTCTAACGAATAATTCGGTCACGGCTTAAATGAAGTGTCTCCTCCACGGGTCTAATGAAGACATAATGAGACAGCTACTGTACGCCACGGTGATGCTGGGTGATTATTTAAAACATGTTTGCTGAGGTTAACAGCTCCGTAACAGATTTATAGGTTTTGTTGCTCTTTGTAAATATGCTTTAAATAATTAATTGGGATTTAATTTGCATAAAATAATTATTGCAACCAGATGCATCTAACTATAATAAAAGACTTGACATATGTTAAATAGCAATTGATTAGAAATATATATATATTTATTGAGATGCTACGGTAATTTAATGAGATATGCATCTCTTAGATAGTTGTTAAATCCTGGAAAAAACCTCCTGTAAATTAATTGCTTTTTAAGCATACAACACTGAATTGCGTTATGTTTCGATGAAAAGCAAATACCGTGGTTAAATTAATTCAGAGCACTGGGCTAAAAATACAACAGGTACTCTGTGGCTACTCATTAACCAAAGCAAACGCTCATGGAGATGGTGGCAGCCTGTGGATCCTCAGGTTAATCCCCAAATCAGCCTGTGGATCCCCTAATTTATCCCCAGATCTGTCTGTGGATCCTCAGGCAAAGTTTTTGGGGTGCACAGCCAGCTTTCCAGGGTGTCTGTGAAATCACTGTTAGCAATGAAGGCGCTGGGTTTGTGCCTCAGTTTCCCTACTTCTCGCCCCACCGGCGGGAGGAGCTGCTAGCAGGGAATGTGCAAAGGCACATTCCAGTTTGGAAAACGCTGTGGGATCTTCACTGCAGAAACTGGCTGAAAAATTGCACGGTTTCTGCAGAAAGAGCAAACGTTACTGTTATTAAGAGTCCTAACGCAGAGCAAACGTCGCAGCACGTTGACCCACGGGAGGTGGTGACAGGGGGACGTGGCGGGGACACTCGTGCTCCACTGCCCCTGACACTTGCTCACCCGGGGCTTGAATTACTGCCAAAATTACACTGTCATAAAAAGCCAATTGCTCAGTGCTTTTAATACACGTTTTTATTTTTCCAACTGCTCTGCAAAACTAAACTGTACGCCAACGCTTTGGTCGTGCACTGCGACCAGCTGAGCACCGAGTGCTTCTGGTGCAGCAAACCCGAGGTGCAACCACACCGTGGCCCCGAGGAGCACCCAAATACTCCTCCTCACTCTTTCTCCCCCCAAGGATTTCACTGGCCAGCAGCAGCACTGCTAGGACATACGGCACACCTCGGCCTTTGAGGTCTTCTGTCTGCATTGCTGGAGAAGAAATGTGTTTTCCAAGACAGCTCTTTGTCGCCAAGCTCAGACATCTGCCCAAAGAAACCCTAAGGGTCCCTCCCAGACCAGGGACCTCAGAACCCATCTCGGCTCCTCAGTTATCAGGACGCTCAAGCCCAGCTCCCACATGCTTTCTCCCAGCACAGACTTAGGCTCCCCAGCAAGCAGGTCTGGGTGCGTCTCAGACCCGGCACCGCCACGGCCAAGGGAGAGCCGGGAGAAACCTCCGGCTGTGCCGGGCGGCCACAGGCCATTTCTGTAGAGCTCTTTTCCCTCTCGCAAGATAAAGCCTTTTGTCTTTGATGTGGAAGCTTTCTCCCTGCGCTGATCCGATTTTAATTGTTTCTCCGCGATTGGAATCAAAGTCTAATTAAAAATAACACTTTAGGTTATTGTCCCGGTTAGCCTGAAATCTGAAGATATGAAATGTGCTTTCTTGCTCTTTCTTTCCAGCATCTTGAACCAAATGGGGAGGCTTTAATCCCGGAGACAGTTCAGCAGGCAGGGCTCAGAGATCCTAACTGCTTCATTTACAATGTTTAGTTCATTTTCTCCCCTCTCAAGTTGTCAGGGGCTAACGACCAACTGATAACGAAGCTGTGTCCTAATGAAGCCGATGCTGCTGGTCTGATCTAGGCGTGGGGAGAGGGGAATTGCTGAGAGTGATGCCCAGCCAAGGGTACCCCATGGACCTGGTAACACACGGGAATGCTGGCAGGTTGCCTGTCTTCCAGCCAGGATTACTTGCAAGGGGGCTGTAAGAGCAAGATGTGGAGTGGAAGTGAACTACAGGTTTGCAGGTTTCTCCCTGCAAACATGGATGGGGGTTTCATACAATCACATGCATTTGCTGTACACTCGTAATCATTTAAGCCATCCCCAGCTCTCACAGACCCCCGGAGGGACTGGCTAAACAGTGACAGACACCTCCTCTGCCATCCCCCTGCTTCAGGGCGACCCCGCTCCCAGCCCTGGCTCCTACCTGCGTGACCTGCGGTGAGCATGGTCTCGTCTCCCCTTCCCTTTGGCACAGCCATTGGTGGTGGAGGCCTCCTTGACCACACGGCCACTCACTTTTTCAGGATGTCTGTCCTCCGCAGGGTACGGCAGGCAGCTGAGCGTCCCGCTGCAGGAGCAAGAGGAGAGAAGCAGAGGGATGAAGAACTGCCCATTCATCTGGGCTTGTTGGCTGAAGGTTTCCCCTGTACTGGGGAATCCCCTTTCCTTTCCACAGGTAGGACCTGTGCTGCTGTGAAGGAGAGCTGCAGGTTGCTCTCAGGCCTCCTGAGCCCACGATGCTCAGCCCTGCAGTGAGCAATGCTCCTACAAGGCTCTGGAAAGCCCCCATTTCCAAGCCAAGCTGTGCCCCAGCGCAGGCACGATGCACTCAGCTTTCAGGCAGAGATGCCACAAGTGCCGTACAGCCAAGGAGCACCTGGATGGCCCCGTACAGCAGGGACAGCACCGGGTCTGAATCCAATGCAACAGCAAGGGGCAACAGTAGCTGATCAGACCAGAACCCCTGGACATCTTTCTCTGCATGGTGGGTTTTAGCTCACCCGCTCTGCAGAGGCAGCACTGGTCTTGCACTCTGATAGAAAAAAAAGCTTTTCAATTCCAAATGCTGTTCTCTAAACTGGCTATTGCATTGCTAATGCCTTGCCACACATCTTTATCCTATCCCCCTCACCAGCACCCAGGCAGAAAGTAAACTTTCAGCAGCCAGGGAACAGGCCTCCTCCCCACTCCAAAAATAGAGTG